GCGCGATGGCAGCGGCCGCTTTGGGCTAAGCCCGCGAGGGAGGTCGGGGGTGTCTCCTGCCCCTCGCCACAGCCCCCCGAAACCAGCCTGTCCCACAGCCCCACCGCGTCTGTGTGGGGCCCCAGACGTTAAGGCAGAAAATAGAATGTATTAGTTAGCGACGCAGGGAAAAGCACCAGGTTTCTGCAATGAGATAAAACACCCCCCTTCCCCAGGGGCTTTCAAACCCTTACTATGAACATCATAACGTTTAGGAAAAGCTTCCACATAAATCTTTTCCCCCCACTTTATGGGAACATAAAATAGTTTCAGCTTTCCTAGCCATCTGCCAGTTTTCCACTCTTTCACTTCTTCCTTTTATCCTTCTGCCTGTCACCCAAGGATGCCGAGTAACAACTTCCCGGGAAGTCAGCAGCTCCAGGACATCTCAGGATGAGATGCTGAGCAGGGTGAGGTAATTCACAGAAGCTGTAATTCCTCACCCTCAGATTACAGTTTTAAAATAAGATCAAGGCAAGTCTAATCGCAGAGAACCCCTCCTCCCTTTCTGCGGGGAGTTAAAAGGTATTTCAGAAACACGGACCTGCGGTGGGGGAGACGAGCTGGCAGGTGTCTGGCACATCTGTAGTACAAAGTAGTATCTGTTCAGAGCCCGGAGCAACCATAGTTTGGCAAACAGCTGTGAAATACTGGCACTACTGTCCACAGTCTACACAAGGGCTTGAATTGGAGCACAGAAGCTGAGGGACTTGCTCACACTGGTCTGAGAGAACACAAAAAAGGTCAGGATCCTGTGGGAAGCAGCCACAGATGACCCATGACTGGGACACTAAGAGACTTAGCCTTTTCCCTGCCTTCCTTCAGCCAGTGAAATCCTCTCTGATCCCCACAGGTAGCTGAGGATCTCCTAGGTCACAGCGCTAAGCTGTTCACAGCGTGATCCATTAAGAGAGCCTACAGGGTGAAGAGGACTGACCTTTCTTTTTATTCCTCCGTGCCACCCACTGGGAGCACTTCAGAGCCTGAGCTCTCCCTGACATTAATGAGCCAAGATGGGACAACTTTCGGTATTCCGTAACTCTCCTCATTGTATTTAGTCCCCTTGGAAGCGAGACAGGCAGGGCCAGCCCTTGGTTTGGTTGTGACCATCTCCCTGTAATCCCTGTCACGGAGAATGGCTTTGGAAAAGGTCCATCTCTGGTACCTCTTGAGTCAAAGGACTCAGATAATGGAGAGGGTGGAAAATAGCACTTCAGGAAGCTGGCGATAGAGATCTCCAACTCACCGAGATGCAGATTACCAAGATGACAGATGTTGACTGTCACAAACACGTTGCCTTGCATACGTTGGATATTACGTGAGTTGTAGGCAGGACCTTTTAAAAATTAAATTCAGTAGAACCATAGAATGGTTCCACTTCCACAGAATAGGTAACCACTTAAAATAGTTAGGGAAAATATCTTCTTAAACAACCTCCTCCAACACACTAGGCTAAACTCCCCAGAGTTTTTCACTAAATTCAAAGAATTGAATATAACTAATCCTGTAAAGCCACTAATTATTCACAAAGGCATAATACCTGTCATCTTAGCAACAGGGAGAGACCAGCTACCACTTCCAATTCTTCCATTAAAGGCAGCCAGCCACCTGCACTGGATATATAGGCTTGAGATCAGTCAGTTAATCAGGTGGCAGCATCATTAGACTGTTCCTGATTCACACACAATGAAAATACAATGAAATAGCCAGCAGACCGCACTGAACTGAGATGTACCCGACAGAGGTGAACACCCCGTACCCTGCTGATGTCGGCATGCAGGGAAACAATACTTTATGCGGGAATGCACAGTGGGAACAAGCCCAGGAGTCATTACCTGAAATCAGCCATTGACACAGCAGTTGGAAACCAGAGCAGCTGGTGGTCTTGGGAAGCATTGGGAAGTTTTTACATTACCTCATGAATTGATGCAGCTCATCAAGAAAATAAGGCAAGAAGCTCAGTTGAGAATGGTCAGGCCTAATGAAGTATGGCCTCTCTCTCAGTGTTTCCTTATTCCCACTCAGTCTTTATACAGCTGATGCAAAATCAAATCAAATCGACCTGTCTTCATGCAGGTCGGCAGGCATCAAGCAGGAAATACTGCTCTTTGGAACAGGCTTGTCAGAACTGATACAGGGATGCTAGGAAGTTCTCAGTCACTTGCTGCAGAAAAGTTTTATTTGCTGCTTAAAAGTAATTTTAAGTGTAGCAAATGCAGCTGCAATCTTGCTGAATAGAAATTTCCTGGCAAGTGGTTTACGACTCCAGCAGGTACGTTTCCCATCCCCTCTGGGCAAATATAAATCCTACCCCATGCTTCAACAGATGCAGCAGCAAAGCTCTTTGTAGTGCACGTTGCAGGACAAACAGCAATAGAGAGGAGGTTGTTTACGTGATCCTTTTTAGCAACATCACGATGGTTTGACATCCCCTCCCTCCTGAAGAAAACTGCCTATAGACACTGAAAACAGATCTCCACACAGCAGCGAAAAGCTAGTCAGTCCTCTTTTAGCACCACAGGAATTAGAGCAAACACGCGTTTACCAGCTGCCAAGGGACTGTCCCAGGGCAGTGCCTACGCAGCCCTAGAGCCCAGTACCTCCCTGAGCTGCTCTACTGATTTAGTTAATGGCAGCTTCAGTCTTAGTCAGACACCAACTTATGCATAAAGGGACACTTTCCAGCTTTAATTGTTCAGAGCTGTGCATTTTCTTTCATTTAGCAAGATCTTTTCTAGCCATTAACCTCCCTTTCTTTTGTCACACACATCATCACCTCATTTCCTTTGGCACTAGCTGGTGCAGCGTACAGCAGCAGGTAACAGTCTCGTTTCCTGGCAAACAGCACGGCGTTCCAGCGCATTCAGCTTTGCCAGTCGCAGGAAATACTCTCCTGGTTCTAGTAACTGCAGTTGTTTGAAGTGTTGAAGCTTTTCCTTAGCAGCTCAAACTGAGGACAGACTTCCCTGGTACTGGGGGAGTGCCACCCTTGAAGTTGGGTTGGGACAGACACGTTTCTGCGGCACCCAAGGTGGATGTTATCAGACCCTCTGGGTACAACTATAATCCACCTAGTGAGGGACACGGATAGGGACTGTAACCCAGGAAGAACTCCTCCTGGCTCTACCTCACAAGTAAGGAGGGGGGAAAGTCACAGGACTTGAGTGAAAGCTTTGTTCTCCTCCAGACAGAATCTGCCTTGGCCCCTGCTAATGCAGAACACTCCAAGCTGTGGAGGTGGGACTTGCCTTCACCTGAAACCCTGTTTTTTCTCTTTTCCTGTCATTTCTTGCATCCCCCTACCCCAGTAAGCACTAGGCGGAGTGGGATTTGTAAGAGAGCACACACAGCCAATGGTTTTAAGAACGAGAACCTCAGTGAAAAGACTTACACTTTCAAAAGCAAACATGACTCTAGAAGTGGCTGATGTATGACAGCAAAAATGTTTAAGACAGGAAAATAAGCTAGGAAGAGGGATAACACAATTATGGTCAAATTGATAGGGATTATCAAATGAGAGAGAATCTGGATAAAGGGAAAAATGTGTGAAGAGAAGAGTTCTGCATATTTGGTAGCAGCAATTTCAAGGATATCTGCTGACACTGTTCCACATCCAGGTGCCACAAAAGGTACATAAACGATGCGAGCAAACACACACAAGATGGGAATTCACTAGAAAAGAACAGATTGTAAATGAACCTTTGTTTGAACCAGGTTAAGCCTGCAGAAGAGCGTGCCCATCAGCTGAGCCTGCTCAGATTTAAGAGGATGGATACACTGAATGCCACAGCATCAAGGCATTGCTTGATGTCCTGCCCCAGGAAGGACCACCTCTGCCCCCCACATCTACAGCAGCACATGAAGAGGTGAAGGTTTATTTTTGCACCAGCTTTTACAATATTTACTTTCTAAGTCCTTGAAGGGGGTAAAGTTGTTGTTCTTTTCTTTGTTCCCCATAAAAATCTGGGTTTACCAGCCATTTATTTTAAAAGCAGCAGATGGTAATACAATATTCTCACTAAAATGAATTATGTCTGGGTAAAATAAAAGCAGCTGAGCTCAGCTAATCACCTACTAGATACTTATAGACTATTTTGAAAAGAGCTCAAGATCTCATTTTCCTTTAAGTGTCCTTTGGCACATCAGTTCCTGTGCTCAAGTAAGATTTTACACTGACGTGTACTGAAACAAACTCCAGCATCATAAGAATTTCCTATTCTATCAAGACTAACAATTCAGTAGTTTAGGTGACCCACTTCAGACAAGTCGTACCTTACCAGCACATTCCAAAGAAAACAGTCCTGTCGTAGAGCACCCACAGCCTGGAAATAAGTTCAGTCCCCCACTGGATTTAAAGCTTTATTTATAGAAAGGTCACTGCATTAATGGCAGCAGTATTTGCTTGGTATTTGAACTCAGCACTAACAGGTTAATATTTACATTTAGAAAACAGTTAAACCAAACTACACACAGCCACGGTTTTAGAGCAGACGGACAGGCAACTTACAGACACTTAACAGTAAAAATAATCACAAATATTTCACTCTGGTTGATATAGTCCAAAGGTCTATTGTTTCTTAATCTGATATGCAGGAAGAGTGGATTTGTCCAAGTCATCAAAATATGGATGGTTCAAGGCCATTTTGCCAGAAATTCTTTTTGCAGGATCATAAACTAACATTTTCTGGAAGACAAAAGGAAACATTTACTCCCCTCATGAACTGGGAACTAAAGTCAGGTTAAACAGACATATTAACCACAGTCATAATGAAGTAGCAATAAAGGTAAGTTCTCCCCCTACATTCCACAATTTCTCAGAGGGAGAGGTCAATTAAAACAGCCCTCAGCATTTTCTAGAGCAAGCAGGAGACTGCTTTTCTAGCACTCTAAAAGCAGCATCTGTAGTTTGTATCACACAGCCAGGGGCTGGACAGAGGAAAGGAATGAAGCATTTAGTTTTAGGTCTGGTAGAAAACTGCTAACTAAGTCTTGTTGGTTTTAGTTCTCCTTACTAAAGGAAAGTACATTTCAAAGCCAGGTAATCGGGATTGTACTGGCTGCTTCTCCCCCAGCCCCACAAACGTGTCTTCCAGAAGAGCTTACCCAGCATTACTCTGCCCAACACTCATCCTGACATTTACCTGTCTCTAGACTTCAGCCTACAGCGACTCTTCCAAGTGATGCAAACCACTGCATTTGCATTTCCGTTCTCCAAACTCCTGCCAACTGCACCGCCAGCTCCAGCTTCAACCCTCTACATCCCATTCTACCCTAAGAGGTAGGGTAACCCAGAAACACCGTATCCTAGAGCCAACGCTGACAGCAAAGCTTCTCTGAAAACTGGCGCTGACGTAAACGGGCAAATTCCTCCGGAAAAGGGATGCTGTGATGTGGGGACAACAGCACTTCAGCTGACAGATGAAAAGTGATCACTGTGTCTCTGAACAGTCTGGAACATACTTCTTCCTGAGCCTTAGTGCCTGACAGACCAAAGCTGTTGGTGACGGCTATTAACTGCCTTGACATGTTGGCCACGGAAGTCATTTAGCGTGTGAAGGTCTAAGTTGGCAGCCTCAGACATGCAGCGGGTCTTAACACAAGGCTCTGTAACCCCTTTTCAGAGATAGCTATTTCACATACTACTTCCACCTGCAGTAGTCTAGAAGTTAACATTTGGATTGACACATCTGAGCTTGTGCTCTAGAATGAGCAATTCTGGGTGCCTTTGAAGGTGTATCGCTGCTTCAGGCTTGAAAGAAACTTAAACTGATTCCAGATGCCCAAGAACTCAGCCCTACCAGTCACCAGGCATTAGCAGGAAGCTAAAATGTCAACATGTATTAAAGGCAAAATGATACAAGTTTTAAAAAAATTAATATGCTTAGAAATTAGTATTATGTTAACACTACTCAAGGAACTAGTCATTTGCTTTTTTACCTTTATAGCAGCAGCCCCAAACATTGTTTTTTACACGCTGAAGCCACAACTAACCTCAGAGGAGTACTCGCCAGGCCAGTTAGGTGGCTGTATCAACCCCATTCACTTGCCTGTTCAATTGATTTCAGTTTGTAAATGCAATCACTAACAGTTCTACCTCAAGCTGATTTAATAGTGATGCTGTCAGTGGACACAGTGGAATTATTCCCCGCTTAAGTCAGCTTTCTCCGTAAAACAATACGGCTGCAAGGTTCGGAGAGCTCTCCAAACAACAGCATGTTTAACAGCTGTCGTTCAGGTTGTCAGTCTGAACTGTGGCTCTGTTCTCAAAAAGACATTGGGAGAAACTGTGGCCATCTGAGCTTCCTGGGTAACACCTCTTTGGAGTATTTTGCCACGGCCACACCAGTACAGGTAATGAACTACTCTGCTTAAAAATGTGAGCCAGCTACACTGGCAATTGCTGTGCAAAGTTCCCCTTGTACCGAAACAGCTCTGAAGATTCAGCACACAGAGCACACCCCTGCCCATGCAGGTCTGCACTGTAGAAACGCGGCTTTAGGGTAAGTCACCAAGGTACATTCTTGCACTTAGCTGCATCTAAGACCACAGCTTAGGTGTGATCTAAAACTAGTCCGCCGTGGCAGCACACAAGCTGGAAAAGCACTAAATGAAACAGCCTGATGAAGAGCTTGTCAAATAAAAGCTTAGTGTGGCAGTTCAATGGCATGGGCACAAAATTAAAGTAAACTCACACTAGACACAAAAATATACCAATTAGGATGATGTAAAGGAAATTGGGACCAACTGACTTAAATAAGACCCCAGTTTCACAGCTAATCAATAAGTTCACCTGTTCCCATCACTGTTTATTATTACAGCCACCATGAATTCTTAACCTACTAATATTAACCCACATGCTGCTGTAGAACAAAGACACTTCCAACTGGATCAGCAGTCATACAGCCACGCAGTGCTGGCGCCAGAGGTGACAGCTACAGTCTGTGAGCAGGAGCCTTCGCTTAAACCTATTTATAAAAGCCTGGTCCCCACTTTCAAGCTGTACCTCGCTTACCAGTATGAAAAAGCTGAGACGCAGTTGCTCAATGAGAAAAGGTTGCCTGGCCCTCCATCACTTGTGAAAGGTGAACGTCACACAAGGTGCCAGTTCCACGAGAGCAACAGCCCATACCACTGCAGATAGCTTGAAGATCAGCAGATCTTCAGTCTGTCCAGGGGTGGTCAGTACAGCTGTGTGTACCCCAGAGTATTTGAAACAAACTGTTCAGTTTCATCATCAGGTTAAGAAAAAACAACTTACAGACAGCAGATCAAGTCCATCTTCATCCAAGTTTTTGACATGTGTTCCCAGACTGCCAGGTTTCCATTTTGGGAATGTGTTTTTATAGTCTTGCAGGGATTCTACTTCAGGCCATACCTCATTGTTGGGAGTACCTAAAGCTCTGTGCAAGCAAAAAGCAAAACATGGAGCAGTGCATGCAGGTTTCAGACTAAACTAAGTGCACAGCACTTACTCACACAGCAGAGCTACACAGGTAGCAAGGAGAGGTTCAGCCTGCCATACCTAAAGATTCTGAAGAGCTGGTCAATCTCCGAATCCCCGTGGAAAAGTGGCTTTTTAGTTGCCAGCTCAGCAAATATGGTACCTATGCTCCACATATCTACAGGCGTAGAGTAACGAGCAGATCCCAGCAACACCTCTGGAGCCCTGTACCACAGCGTCACCACCTGTTGAACAAGGAAATCTTTTTAGGAGTTTCTAGAATCAGGTCCTCTATTTGACTGCAAAAACAATGGCTCATTATTAAGCAGCATTCACAGTTTTTTTTCATTAAAATAACAGCCAGTGCTGGAAGTTTCAGTGACAATACTAGTTTCAGACTTAATTTACAGATGAGCATAACAGACTCCATTGCAGTATTTTCTACTGCAAGCAAAGCCATTTCCTACATTACCCAAAGAGCAGGAGGCCTTTGGCACACAGACAGTAAAGCCCTCAACAAACTGGAGAACTTTGTGAAGCAAAAACACCCTCAGGAGACAGCAAGCAACAAGTTCTGGCCCACCTGACTCACTGTCAAGGTAACAGCGGGATTCATTAGATGCTTTGGTAACACCAAGAGTAACACCACAGCCAGGAAGGTGGAAAGCCATTGAATAAAACAAAACACAAGCCTTGGATACTGGTAGTTTATGAGTTCAAAAGCTCTGTGATTCTTTTTTAGCTGTTTCATACTCTGTTATTACCAGGAAGCTAGTAAGCATTGTGCAAATCACCAAGAGGATGTTCCAACTCACTCACTTCATGAGTGTATATCCGCACTGGAATTCCAAACGCTCGAGCTAATCCAAAGTCTGCCAGTTTAATCACTCCCTTGTCGTCTATTAAGAGATTCTGAGGTTTTAGGTCTCTGTGGAGAACTCTTCTTGAATGGCAGAAGACGATACCTTGCAAGATTTGATACAAGTAACTCTGTAGAAAGGATGAGGTGGGAGGGGAAAAAAAAGTAGTAACCTTTAGTACAAGAGAGTGTTCCACAACATAAAGCTGTTCCCTTACCTTAGCTCTCCCCATAGTAGTAGGAAATGGAGAGCCAAAACATGGCAGACGTTGAGTTAATATGAATCATAAATCCACACAAATTAATTCTTTACTTAAGCTTAGTTTAAGGAAGTTCAATTTCAGTAATTAAAAGAATTTGAAGTGGCATTTGAGAGCAAAACTCACATTCATCTTATTATCCACAGCTGCTTCTTTAACCTTTCATTTCTCCTCAAGGAGTTAATTACACTGAAAGCAAGAGCTGCTTATGGCTTTGTAGGTCATCTTCTTTGGATTAATTTCTGTCTTGTATTAAGAAATTGTCCTCATTACCTTAACACGTGAACATTCCAAATAGTGGCCGTGTGGAATAGTATCCAAGTATTTCTTGAGATCCATGGAAAGGAATTCAAAGACAAGGTACAGTCTGGCATCCTGCATAAGAACATCCTGAAGACTGAAAATTGAGCATACGATCAACTCCACCGCAAAATGCATGGACTCACAGTTACATTCCCCCTCTCAACGGGGACACAAGCTGACATTTCCAGGTTCCTGTTATGAAAGCCCTACAAATCTTGCAGTCTTCAAAGATGAACACCTAGTGAGCTACACTGTCATCTGGAAAATCAAGTATATGTGGAATAGTGTCAGGGTGAGATAAGCACCCTGTATGCTTCCTCATGTTCCCTCGTGCCTACTATCACAGAGGAACTCAGGAGAAGAGGTACTGTTGCCTTCAGAAAGGCTGTGGGTGTTGGTGCCTAGCTTCCGTTTGAGGCTGCCTTATTAGGGCAGGGCCTGGATTAACTAGAAGGGTTCAAGGGAATATTATAATAGGAACCTAACAGACACAGCAGGATCTGCACAGGTTTTATATCTCCTTCTTCCATAATAGATAAGGGTTCTTAAACCCCATCATACCTACACTGAGACACTACATGGCTGGAACTTGACCTATTTTAAGGCAAATTAGAGAAAGTGTTTTGCTGCATCAAAGAGCAAGTAACCACTTGGCAGGGATGACAGATATCTGCTATCGGTTCCACATGTCAAGTAGTCACTGATGGAAGTTTCACTGGTAGCTCAGGTGTGCCAGCATTATAACTCAACACCTACATCTCAGCTACAAAACAGCAAGGGAGCGATGGACGACGGAGGCTCCCAGAAGAGCACCGAGCTCAAACGGTCTGCTCCAAGGGGGCAAATCCAGTTCTGACTAAAATAACAGCTTCAACCAGTTTTCATGAGGTACGCTGTCTCCGTTCTGACAATAACCCCTATGAAGACAGGTACACCAGTTACAACATCAACAAAATCCGTTAGATTCCTAGAAGAGGAAGAGGCAGCATGAGGAAGTCTTAATTAGAAAGCTGGCATAACACAGGATTTGGGGCTATACAGCAGACACTGAATTAAGCAGTTCGCTCTCACCTCACTAGAGCGGTGGAAAAACAACTTCTTACCTGAAGGGACTTAGTGCCCTTCAACGACTTTAGCTAAATACCAGTATATGCATACCAGACTATATTGGGATGACGCAGCTCTCTTAATAAAGAAATTTCTCTGACAGCAGTACTTGGAACACCTTCCTCCTCACTTTCTAGACGTATTTTCTTCATTGCAACCACTTGGCCTGTGGTTTTGTGCCGACCTTTATACACAACACCATAGGTACCTGAACAGAAAGACAGTGAAATGCATATAGGAAATACCAGCTTCAGGTACCGACAAGTCATTGCAAATAAGAATTGCTAACATAGGCAAGAGTCCTTGCAATCAAGTATGTTTTGGTTAAGACTTTGGCTTGATTACAAACTGCTACTTAGCTTTGGCAGTTTAACCATGCAATAATGGTTGTTTTTTTGTTTAAAGCATGCTACCCATAAACAGGATCATTTGCTAGGACAGGGTACTTAATAGCCCAATTGTGAAACTGGAATATTTGGAAAATGTAGTTCTAAAACCAGATACTTTGAGTTTCAGGTTGATAAACTTTCATGCAAGATCACCTATAGCTTTTCATCCCCAAGGGATTACAATTTTACCATTCACACCTCACACTGAAAGGTTAAAGGTTCAGCTGTAAAAAAAGTAGTGCTCCCTCTGCAATTGGAGATCTATCCATCTATAGATCAGACCTACGGAATTACCTCTGGCACAATCCTCAGTAAGGGAGAGAGAGGGTAGCGCTGTGGGTCTCAACAGAAGCAAAAATTGGAACAGGTAGCAAACCTCAAATCAATAACCTATTTTAACCATCAGTGTCCACAGAAGTAGACCCCTCAGCAAACCCAGACAGTTTAAGTATTCTCTTTTCACATGTCTTGAAGCATTAATCCATCAGATTAGCCTCAAACTAGTTTCTTTCAGGAAGATTCATGCATAAGGCTTCAGCTACGAAGCTCGTCGTAAGAGCTAAGGTGTATCGTCATACACTTTTCGATTACCTTTGAGAGCCTTCTCAGGGTGACGTACTGCAAATTCTCAAGTCTATGTAAGAATAAAGCATTATGAAATACGTCGACTTACGTTTAACAGAGGCTAGATTTCCAGTGAAAGGAGTTTGTGACTTAACATCTGCATTGCAGCAACCTTCTTTGTGCCTTATAGTGAATAGATTGTCAAAATTCACTTCTCCAGAGGTTTACAATCTGCTCTTTTCCTTGACAAGCATAGTGACTGGATATAATCCAAGCAGAACAATCCACAAACCACTACTCCCTACCAGCAGCTCCAGGCAAAATAAGTATACCACGCAGTGTAATTTCAGGAGCAACCGGTATGCAAGTTCATATGCAAAGGAGTGGAGGCGCTTCCTAGTTTGAAAAGCTGGTTTCAGGCCCCTGAACACACTACTTCTCCCTCCCCAGAGGAAAGTTACATCATTAAACATCGATATGAAGGTAGACGCTTCTCAGCACTGATCAGTCATTTCAAATAGACCATGTCATCTTCAAAAGGGCAGTCTGAAAACTTTTACATAGAGACAGTTACTCAGTTAGCCACAAGCTTATTTTTCCAGTTAGTTGAATCCCAGTAGTTCCTCTAAGAGCCAATATGCACAGAGCTTCAATGGCACTTGATAAATTGTGGAGCATTACAAGGCTCACAGTTCTCTGTACTTACCTTCCCCAATCTTCTCTATTTTTGTGTAATCTTCCATTGCTGTGATTATCCCTAAAATGAACAGGAAACAAACTCATGAGGGTAGACAGCTGCTATCCTAAACACAGCCAAGCCACTGAAATTATCCCAAGTCATCAGAAGTTAGTCTTGTCTTACGTAATTGGGATGTAACATGGAACATAACTGTTCTTCTCAGAAAAAAAAAAACACCTTCAAGCATCTGAAAAAACCCACATCCTACTCCTCAGTTCTATGCTCGTTGGGTTTGGCTGAGGCAGTCAGTTTTCAGAGGCAGCCGGCCACCCTGCGATCTAAAGGCATCAAGCTCGGTGTTAGCAGGGTGGGGGAACCCAGCCCCGAGCCGTGCGATACCCCGCGCAGGCGGCAGGGCCGCGCGCTGCGCCGCCGGGCACACGACAC